AAAATAAAATAAAATAAAATAAAATAAAATAAAAAATAAAATAAAAAAATAAAATAAAATAAAATAAAATAAAATAAAATAAAATAAAATAAAATAAAATAAAAGCAAGAATATGGATATTGGTTGTCCCCAGGCAGCTAACTATTCTGGCTTGCCAGATCAGCATACCTCCCCTTTTCCCCACCCAAAACTACTGCAAACCATCTCAGCCAGTGGCCTTCAGAGCATCTCTGACTACTCTCCTGACCAAACCTGGTCCCCATCAGCTTGTGACTGTCAAGGAGATGCTGCCCTGGGGAAAGACATTCAAAAGAGGTGACGCTAGAGAGATCTGACATCTTCCTGGAGGGCTTCTCGGAAGCTGCTAGGAAGCTTTCGTGAGTGCTCCCCCCTCAGTGTATGTGTATGAATATGGGGTGACAACTACTCCGGGTAGAAGAGAGGCAGCATAAAAGACGGTGGTGTCTTTCTTCTCTGTCACGATTATTACATTCACTAACATGTCCTGTTTCTCTCCCGGCACCTCTGGGCCTCCCCGTGCGGCAGTTCTCCTCTGCGTGCCCCACGTCCGCGCCGTGTGGGCCTGCGCGCGATCCTGCCCGGCCGGCTGCGTGTGCACGCAGGAGCGGCGCTGCTCCGTGCTCTGCGACCGCGCCGGCCTCGCGCAGGTGCCCGGCGACTTCCCCTGCGAGGCCTCCTCCATCAACTTGGATAAAAACAACATTAAGTTCCTCTCGGAGCGGGCCTTCGGGACCTTGCCGTCCCTCAGGTCCCTGTCGCTCAACCACAACAACATCTCCTTCATCACGCCGGGGGCGTTCAAGGGGCTGCCCAGCCTGACCGAGCTGAAGATGGCCCACAACGAGTACATTCGCTACCTGCACATGCGGACCTTCACTGCCCTCCGACGGCTCGTCAAGCTCGACCTGGCCGACTGCAACCTTTTCAATATCCCCGACAGGATTTTCATTGAGCTCTCGGCTCTGCAGGAGCTTTTCTGTTTCCAGAACAATTTCCGAAGGATCCCAGGTGCCATCAGGGGCATGGAGAACCTGACCCATGTTTACTTGGAGAGAAACAGGATCGAAGCTGTAGCCTATAATTCTCTGCAGGGGCTGACCAAGCTGAAATACCTGAATCTGCAGGACAACAGGATAAACGTCATTCACGAGCGAGCATTTCAGGGCTGCCAGAAGATGGAGTATCTGTACCTGAATGACAACTTGCTCGGGGAGCTGCCAGAAAACTCCTTTGATGGCCTGAGGTGCCTGAAAATGCTCAACCTGGGGGGGAACTTCCTCAGGAACATTTCCAACACTTGGTTCCGGGATCTGGTGGAGCTGGAGGTCCTCTACCTGGACCGGAACAGGATCAGCTACATCGAGGAAGGGGCTTTTGAAAACCTCACCAGCTTGGTTGTCTTGCACTTGAACAGCAACAACCTGACGACCCTGCCCTTCTCCGTCTTCCAGCCCGTCTACTTCCTGGGGCGGCTGTACCTCTTCCGCAACCCCTGGGAGTGCGACTGCCGCATCGAGTGGCTGAAGGAGTGGATGGAGAGCTACAGGCTGGTCCGGGACATCCCCTGTGCCTCCCCGTCCTCAGTAGCAGGGATGGATCTGATGGACGTGCTCTACGACAGGTCGCCAGAAGGTTTCTGTCTTGACCCCGTGGAGCTAAACGTCACGTCCTACAGCCCGACGCCAAGCGGAGAGCCCTTCTCTACCACAGAGAGCAAGTTCAACAGCCTTATCTCGAAACTCCTGCTCCAGAGGGGCCTTTCCGAAGATGTGGCAAACACCACGGAGGTGTTCAGCAACACCACGCTGCCAGATGGACTAACCGACGGGGTTTCTTCTGGTGCGGGGGAACACCGCATCCAAGCTGTCACCTCTTTGCACCTCACCGTGATTATTTTTACAGGGGTTATTTTGCAGAGTAAATAGTCCAAGGGCTGCTTGGAGCACGGCTCCTGCTCAAGTTTTCACTATCTCTGTACAGGTGGTGGTTAGGGAAAAGCTGGCACTGGGGCCCTCAGGTGGGTACCTGGCTCCAAGCTCCAGGCAGTTGGTTGGATCTGCCTCTAGGCTGTGCCCCACTCAGTTGCAACCTTCTCAGTGCCGGGAACTTGTGCCACAAGTTCTCAGGGTCTCAGAGGTGCCAGCAGATGTTGTGGATGATCAGCAGTGAAAGGATAGAAATAAGGATGAATTACCTTAGAGGCCTGTGGCTTTTGTTCCTCACCAAAGTGACTTGAAAAGGGTCCTGTATTGAAAGTCAGTGTAGCACCTTTCCAATTCCCTGTCAATGCATGAACCTATCCCCTTGCCTTCATGAGAGCAAGACAAAGCAGAGACCCCCTGCGGGGCTGCTCTGCTCGGGAGCAGACGGGTGCTCGGAATTGCTCCCGATCTCAACCCGCGTGTTGGGGGCAGCCGGCCCATTCCCAGCCCCGTGCAGAGCTGCTGCTCCAGCCCCGTGAACAGGACAGCAGCAACGGGGGGAGGTCACAGCCTGCGGCTGCGCTCGGAGGGGCTGGGTGGGCACCGAGTTTTGGCTGGGAGCACAGCCGGGATTTTCTATCTTTCCTCCGCAGTTCTGGCACAGGTGTGATAAAACCAGACAGACCCATTTTTGTCAAAGTCTTCTATAACATAAAGCTATTTAAACCTAACAACAGCTTATTTAATAAAGCTTGCTTCAAATGCTTTTGTTTTTCAAGTAATATATAGTTTTCAAAGAATATACGGTTGTTATTTGCAGATTATTTCATGGCATGAGAGCAGTAGCTGAAGAGGATGATGACAGATGAAACTGTCTAAACGTGCCAAGTCATTTTGTGTTTCTGCTATCAGTGTATGCCACGTTATGCCAAGTTATGCCATGTTAACCAACTATGTCATCATTTTCTTTAATGGCATCTCATTTGTTTTATCTGTAAAATCTTTAATGAATGCTGCTACTATAGCCAGGAAAAAGTCAAGTTTTCTGTAACGGAGCACATCGTTAACAAAACAATTTGATGTTTTGAAACAACATTTGAAAATAAATTAATTGCTTAGTGCACCAGTAAACAAAACACTTATTTTAAGATCTTTGAATTGCTCTGCTCTTTGTAGGCTACTCGATTGGGTACACGTGAATACAGATTTTATATTCCGGAGCAAATGGCAAGCTGTGTCATTGCAGCCTGAAGGACAGACACTTTGACTTGGAGCCTAAGACGGTGCTTGCATCTGCATTAAGTAGCAGCGGTTTTAAGCAGTGTTTATGTACAAACACACTTTGTGATACTTCAGCTATAAATTACACGGCTTAACATAATGTGGCATACGGCCCCATGACATAGGCTCCCCTCCACCAGGCTGTGCTTTTCCAGCAGCATCTCCAGCGGCTTCACAGCACGTTCTTTCGGGTCGCCTGGTTTGCTTTGCATTGCTCTGCCCAAGGAGGTGGAGGTTTATTGCTCTATGCAGCAAGTTTTAGGGAAAGCTGAATACAGGAAACGCACGCAGCTCCTGTGGCGAGGGTTCTAGGGAGACCACAGTTTTTACCCCAGCGAAGGGAGATGCCAGATGGTTTGATAAATGCTTATTTGACCTGCTCGATGCACTAAATTCAATGAGTTTGGATTTCCAGGCTATTTATGAATCCATTAATCTTCTTAAATGCTAAATACATCTGTGTATTATAAAGGCTGTTTTTCGAACCTGGTCCAGCCAAATGCTGTAGAGGCGCATTAGGTTAAGGATGCCTCTGCAGAAGCAGCATTTCATCCTGTCAGGAAAGGTTTAGCTACACAAGTTTGACACAGATGGCAGGATATTGGGCACAAATTGCTATTTTTCACTTCCTACAGGTATAGATGCCTAGTGAGTGATTTGCTTCTATAACCCTCACTTTCAGTTTCTGCTTGGAATTACATTAAAGCTGAAGATTTTCTTACTGTGTAGTTGTTAGCGTGGCTTTCACGTTAATTATTGCTTCAAAGATATGCTTTTTTTTCCCCTTAATTTGCAATTACAGATTAGATCTGAATATGAAATGTCTCAAAATGCAGGTTTCAGCAGAGCTCACACTGTGAGCTGAAGGAAG